AGAGAGAGAGAGAGAGATCAGCTGTATTGAGAAGAGAACGTTTCCTGTGTTCTCATTTTATTTACAACATATTTTACGCTTAATGGTAAGCAATGAAAAATATTTTTAAAACTCATTTCTAAACTCCATAGCTATTTGCATATTCTTGGTTCAAAATTGGATTAGCTCATTTCAAAATTGTCCAAAGCAGAAAAGTGCGTCAAAAAAAAAAAAGTGCAAAAGTGGAAGGTGTGTGGAAGAGGGGGTAGTCTTATACGGCGAGTATATAACAAACTCTATATTTTGAGTGGAAATGTTGGGGGGTCGTCTTATACGCCCAGTCGTCTTATACGCCGGCAAATACGGTACTTAGACTTCAGCAAGGCATTCGACAAAGTAGACTACAATCTACTTGGTAAGCTAGAAAATAGTGGGATAGATAGCATCACCTCCAGATGGATTTGCAACTGGCTGACAAACTGTACTCAGTGAGTAGTCCTTAACGGGTTTAAGTCTACATAGAGGGAAGTAAGCAGTGGGGTGCCACAAGGTTCCGTCTTAGGCCCAGTACTCTTCAATATCTTCATTAACAACTTAGATGAGGGAATAGAAGGGGAACTTACCAAATTTGCAGATGATACTAAGCTGGCAGGAATAGCTAACACCCTAGAAGACAGGCTCAAGATCCAGATACATCTTGAACACTGGACCCTATCTAACAAAATGAAATTCAGTGTAGAGAAAAGTAAAGTCCTACACTTAAGGCAAGAAACACCAAAAGTATACATATGGATTGGGTGAAACCAGGCTTAATAGCAGTAACTGTGAGAGGGACCTTGGAGTCTTAGTGGACAACCAGCTAAATATGAGCCGCAACCATAAAAGCCAATGCAATCCTAAATTGCATTAACAGTGGGATATAATCAAGATCAACTGATGTACTAATACTTCACTAAAGCCTTAGTAAGACCACACCTAGAGTACTGCATCCAGTTTTGGTCACTGCGCTATAAAAAATGATGTTGAGGCTCTAGAAAAAGTGCAGAGAAGAGCAACCAGGATGATTAGGGGACTGGAGACCAAAACATATGAAGAACAGTTACAGGAACTGGGCTTGGCTAGTCTAGTAAAGAGGAGGACCAGGGGAGACATGATAGCAGTGTTCCAATATTTGAGGGGCTGCTACTGAGAGGAATGGTCCAGTTATTTTCTAAAGCACCTGTAGGCCATACAAGGAATAATGGACGGAAACTGAACAAGGAGAGATTTAATCTGGAAATAAGGACAAATTTTCTGACAGTGAGAATAAACAACGAATGGAACAGCTTGCCTTTGGAAGCTTCATCACTTGAGACTTTCAAGAAGAGATTGGACTTCCATTTGTCAGAAATTGTGTAGGGCAGTGGTTCCCAATGTGGGTGGTATTGCCACCTGGGGGGGCAGTGGGATGCCTTATGGGGCACTAAGAGGCAAAGGAGCCGGCAGGGGGGCGCTAAGAGGCAGCAGAGGGGTGCTGAAGGTGGACCCCTCACAGAAGGTGCAATTCAGGGGTGGGATTCTACCAGTTCATTACTCTTCCTGGTAGTTTGGAGAACCGGTAAAATGGGCCCCTGGCTGGCCCTGCTCCTCTCCACCCGCTCCTCTATTCCCTGCCCAGTCAGTCCTTATTGAACATGCGTGACATCGCACACATGTGCAACAATCACTGATGGCCACAGCGGCATGTTGGAGAAGCAGAGCAAAGATAGAGGTTGGTAATTTTTGCTGCAAAAAGCATCCAGACGCCGTGTGATTTTTTTTCGGTGCAGCTGCACTCCAGCCACACTGAAAAAAAGTACGCAGCCTCTGGAGGTTTTTTGCAGCAAAAATTACTGACCTCCGGCTTTGCTCTGCCACCGCCACTGCGTTCTAGGCACCGGCCATCCAGGCTCACCCCATTGACTGCTGCACCACTCCGCTCAAACTCCCTCTGGTGCAGTGGACTCAATGGGGTGAACCTGCGGGGCCAGCACCTAGAATGTGGCTGTAGCGGCACGTTGGAGAAGCAGAGCAAAGCTGGAGGTCGGTAATTTTCACTGCAAAACACCTCCAGCCACTGCTTGTTTTTTTCGGTGCAGCTGAAACACATGGCGGCTGCAGGCATTTGTAACAAGGGCGACATGGGCTGGCGGGGAGCCCAGCGACAACAATGGCTCAGACCTGGCTTGCCTTCCCTGGCAGCCAGCTGTGGAAAGAAGGTAAAGTCACAGCTGTAGGATGACAAAAGAGGCGGTCGTGGGGGAGGAAATGGGGAGATTAAGGGCCGGGGCCTCTGAATGGGGATTAGCCCAGGCCTTTGACAGATTAGGCCACACCTGCCTGGACACAAAATAGATAGATAGGTTAAGGAAGGGATAGAGAGAGAGGGAGAGAGAGGGAATGAGAGAGAGAAAAGAGAGGGAATGAGAGAGAAAAGAAAGAGAGGGAAAGAGAGAAAGAGAAGGAAAGAGAAAGGGAGAAAAAAGGGGGAAAGAGGGAAAGAGAGAGAAAAAAGAGAGGGAAAGAGGGAAAGAGAGAAGGTACAGACAAGAAAGTAAAGAAAGAAAAAGGGAGAGAGAAAGGAAGAAAAGGGATAGACAAAGAAAGAGGGGGGATGGAAGGAAGGGACAGAAAGATAGATAGAGGGGGAAAGAGAAAGGGAGTGAGAGAGAAAGAAAGAGGGAGGGAAGGAGGAGAAAGTGAATGGGATATGGATGGAGGGATAGAAAGAGAAAGAGGGAAAGAAAGAGAGGGAATGAGAGAGAAAAAGAGAGGAGAAAGTGAATGGGATATGGAGGGAGGGAGAGAAAGAGAAGGAAGAGACAAGAAAGAAAAGAAAGAAAAAAGGCAAAGAAAAAGGGAGAAAGGAAGAAAAAGGATAGACAAAGAAAGAGGGTGTGTGTGGAAGGGACAGAAAGAAAAAAAGAAAGAAAAAAGAAAGGGAGGGAGGGAGGAGAAAATGAATGAGATATCTAGTCCAACCACCTCCACCAGCAGGATTAGAAGGGAGGGAGAGTGCGCGCGCATGGCTGTCAAAACTCCAAAAACAGGTCAAGTCGTTTCGGGGAGGTCAGTCATAAATTAGAACACTTACTAAGCAACTGGCCATTAAGCGAGGACCACTTATATTTGGTTTGCCAGTCACATGGCTACCTGGCCATGCCCACCGAGTCACATGACCACCAAACCATACCCATCTGGTCATGTGGCCAAGCCACGCCCAGTCAGCAAGCCATGCCATCACATGACCTCCAAGCTCTACCCACAAATTAGGCCACACCCACAGAACCAGTTGCTAAGAAATTTGAATCTCACCCCTGGGTGGGGGGCACTGAGGATGAGTTTGTAGCACCAAGGGGGCAGTGGACTGAAAAAGTTTGGGAACCACTGCTGTATGGTCTCCTGCTTGGGCTGGGGGGGGGGGGTAGGGGGTTGGACTAGAATAAATGGCCTACAAGGCTTTGTCCCGGTTTGGGTCTTGAGTGAGAGCTAAATCCTATCACCCTGAGGCTGAAGGTCTTTCATCTTGTAGATATGATGGCCCATTCTTTCTTAATGGGCACCAAATATTTGCTGGGGGCAGGGAGCTGAGGCTGAGTTTCCTGAAAGTTGCCACCATTGGATCCAGATGTCTAATTATTATATTACGAGGAGTTAAAGCAGCTTTAGCTCCTCCCAAAAAGGCTCTTCGAATTCCAGTTATAGCTGCCAAGCGATACTATAAATATTCCGGCTTTCCTTTCCGTTCGGCCCCGCCCGAAGAGGAGCAAAGCTTCTGCAATCCTTCGGCCCAAAAGCTGAACAAGAAGAGAAGGGGGCGCTCCCTCGAGAGAGATAGCCCCTCTAGCTGAAGGAAGTGCTTGTTTCCACTTCGACCTGGAAGTGAAAGGAGACACCGGTCGAGCAGAGGCCAAGCCCCATTTGGGGACCCGATCGCTTGCCTCGGTTCTGGCACCGTCAGCGCGGCCATGTCCCAAGGAGGCAGGCAGGAAGAGACAGGGACAGGCAGCACCCTCCGGAAACGTTGGAGCCCCAGCGAATCGCTGCCCAGCTGCAGCTCCCAGACAAACCATAAAGGGCAGGATCTGAAGGAGCAAAAGAGAAATAAACGGGTGGTGCAGCAAATCCAACAGATCCAACATCTGGAGTCCTTGTAAGCAGATCTTCTTCGTCGGTCCCTTGATTTGTTTATTTCCTCCTTCCCACCGAGCTATCCCGTGACCTTTTACAGAACGCAAACCTATACAGTTATGATGGTACCCTTCCTAATCCGGTGCACAACTACAGCTGGGTTGTGGTGTTGAGGAAGTCTGAAAGACAAAGGTTGCTGGTGAGGATTGTATTCTATCCTCTTTCCACTGAACCTATATTGCTGTGCGTTGTCAGTCAAGATTGTCCAACTACTTTATTAAGAAAAAGCATGAGACTCGGGATGACTATAAAAACCCGCAATTAGCAGCCCATCAACGTCTCAGTGTCCCTTTCAAGTTAACTACCCTTTGTCTACTATTGTAGACAAAGGTAGAAGAGCACAGGAAAAATAGCTGTTGCTGGATGGCTCAGATAAGCAAAAGTGAATCATCCAGATCTACAGCTGTCTACAAGGAATATAAATCTTTCCATTCTCCACTATCCTGTCAGAACTGAAGAAGCTTGATTGAAGCGATAAAAAGCGAAATGTTTTCAGAAGAAAAACAAAGTTCAGTTGCCTCCTGAAAAATCACCTTTGGAACACTGCTGCCATTCTGGCTTTTGTTTTAAATTTAACTTATTAAGATATAGTACGCATTTACGCAGGGAATTATGGCAAGTGTTTCAAATCTTATACAGGAAATAATAAATTAAATGGATTATAGGGGCAATAAAAATCTTGTGACTCTGTCATTTGTGCCAATAGGAAGAAACAAACTGTTTTTCTTCTCCTGAAGGCAGTTACATTGCAAGAAAAAAACTAATATGTTTCTGACAGATTGTTGATGAAGATTAAGGACTGGAAACTGTCATTATGAACATGTCATCTAGAGACAACTCTTTACATGATTGAAACTACTCATTTTTTGTTTCATTACAATGACTCCATGGTGGGATTCAATTTTTTTTACTATCAGTTCTGTGGATGTGGCTTGGTGGGCGTGGCTTGGCTTGGTGGGCATGTGACACCTTCTTTAAATGGAATCATTTTCCAACATTGTTCATATTATTTGCCAAATAAGGGAAATGAAAAACACTTTTAAAGAAAGTAACCTATTTTTTGTGGAAACTAAAAAAATCATCATTGCTTAGTTTTTTTTAAAAAGAAAAATTACTAAAGATATATTTTCAATCTATTTTTCAGCTATGAAAAACTTCCTCCAGGGCTAATTAAGGTATGTGAGAGGGCTATAAATAATATCGTTTAAAGGATAATATAACAGATATAATGTAAATGTTTTTCAAATTATCACTAAATATTCTATATAGTTATGTATGCCCTGAGATCCATTTTTGCCTACAGAACTGTTAGTGCTTACTTTTGAATCTGAGTTTGAATACATCCATCAGATTTTATTAAAATGTCACTGGGCAACCTTTTCAACATTTGATTCTTATGGCATGAGACTAGGTTCAACTGTCTGGACAGCTTCAGGTTCAAACACATACAATTAATGTATACATGTCTGTTCAAGAGGGGACTAATAGTATTCAGGATCTTGTTGCAGGTAGGTACTTTTCTGCTACCATTAGAAGCAGAAAACTAATAATATTCTGAATGGTTGCTTGTTCAGGGTGCTTCATCTTCTACTTTCCCGCAATCCAATGTTCACAATTCCTGGTTGTTCACGAGTCAGCTTCCGGGAAGTATGAGTTCTAGCCATGATTGAAAGTTACTACTTTGTGCCTATAGAAAAATATCTTGCCTACTTATTTATCTTTATAGCTTTAGTGGACTTCTTTTCTGTTGCAGGAAAATGAGACTAAACCAGAAGATTGCATTCCTGATGTACCTGGCAATGAAAATGCACGAGAATTCTTAGCACATGCTCCAACCAAAGGATTATGGATGCCTTTAGGAAAAGAGGTCAAGGTTATGCAATGTAAGTGGAGCATCTAGATTTTGGAGGTTCTGTAATAAATCCAGCAATAGCGAGAGTTGGTGAGAATAGGAGATAAAATCTTTTCTGTAGCAGTTACCATTTTTCCTTAGTGAAGATAATTAATTTATAAATGCTTTTTGCTTTATGATACATATTTTTATACTGGTCTTTTTCAAAAAGATTGTAGCTTTAATTTTTATTATTAACTGAATTTCCAATATACCCTATATCGTTGCTTTCATTAATAGAATATCTGAAATATTCATAGCATTTAGGGAGAATAAAGGAAAAAGGACATGCATTGTCAAACCAGAAGTAGTAACTTAGAAACAGTATAAATGCTCAGAATGTGCATTCTGTGGATGAAAGTTGAAAATCTATGAGGATGTAGCATGGCATGTTTATAATCAATTGATTTATACTCAAGAAAGGTAGGACGTTTGAAGAAAAAATTCACCAAAAAGTATCTTCAAAAGCTGTTGGTCTTACACTGCATGCTTATTTTTAAATAGATGTGTAATTGATTGACACTGGAACATATTTTTTCCATAAAAATTTGGACCAAAGGCCAATAAGATACACCCAGGAAACTTATAAGCAAGACATAAAATTAATAAATGTCTTTCACTGATACACGTCAAGTATTTAAGATATAGCAGTTATCCTTCCAAAGTAGTATATTACTATCAAAGTTGCAGAATAACTAATATCATTTTGTATAAATTTATCTAACCGTCTTTGAAACCAATCCTTAGTAGCAACCAGGAGCTCTGATGATAACAAATTCCACAATGTTATTAAATAATTGTACATTGTGGAAGAAGTTAATATTTTTTACAAATTTACTTATCAGTACAGAGATGCATAGCAATTCATTTTTGTGGGTAACTTCTCACATTGCTAGAAACATCTCCATATTTTCCATATTATACATTAATTTGTATTCTTCTATTGTGTTGCCTATTAGTTACCTCAAGTTAAGAAGCCCCAATTTCTTTAGATCCTGAATAATTTTGGTCACATCCCTCTGGAACTAGGAGTCTAATCAAAACAAATCAGTCTTGTTGATGACTGGTATAAAGATATAAATGTGAACTAAGTTTTCTACATCTTCTGTCTTCTATATCTTGCCTTCCCTTCAGAAATCAAGAGGATGGTATTATATAATTACATGAGAATAAATACATTTGATTTTACAATGTTTGTGTGTCTATATGCACACTTTTGTAAAAAAATACTTTGGATAGAATATAATTTTTCAGTGTTAATCTCTTTCTTCTCTCAAGGCTGGAGATGTAAACGATATGGACACAGAACAGGAGATAAAGAATGTCCTTTCTTCATCAAAGGCAACCAAAAATTAGAACAATTCAGAGTGGTAAGTAGTGTAAATTGTGACATAATTTACTTAAATCAGGGATGTCAAACGGGTGGCCCGTGGACCAGGTACATCACACATGGCCACGCTCAGCCCAGCTCCATGAAGGGGAAAAATGTTGCGGTGTCACGTGACACCATGAGTTTAACACCAATGCTCTAAATAATCATGTGAGAAGAATGTTAAATTAAGACATCTGGTTTTTTAGATAATGTTAATTCTAAATAATATTAACATTCTGTAAAATATGACGTGCTAATATTAATCTTTCGTACAGCATTTTTTTAGGAGTAAAGTGGAGGCTGTTTCAACAGAGACAGACATGATATTATTCCGATTAAAATCAGAATTCCGATTTTTTGGCGGGAGGGCGGGCAGCAGCGCGAGCGGTGGGCGGCGCGAGCTGAGCCCGGGCGGGCGGCGCGAGCGGCAGGCGGCGCGAGCTGAGCCCGGGCGGTGGGGGGTCTCTTTTGGCCGGCCCCGATTTTTTTTTCAGAGGGGAATATCATGCCTGCAGAGAATAAATTGGAGTTAATGTCTCTCTCTGGCATTTTGTCTTAGCCAACCACTACATGTTCAGGATCATCCCAAGACATGTTGGTTTTGAAAATAAATACTAAACATATAGATAGCTTGCTTGGGCACATTATTGAAGTATGCCCTGTAACTACATTAATTGCTCATGCCAGTAGTTCTCAACCTGTGATCAATGGACCCCCAGGGGCCATGAAAGCTTGAAGAAATGTTATGATTTAAATCTTGAATTAAGTCTTAGTGGTCCGTGGCCACAAAAGGTATTTAAAGGGAGTCCATGGCAAAGAAATGTTTGAGAATCATTGAGTTATGCTGTTATTCCCCTCTACTTGCCTTTCCCTACCCAGCACTTAGGGCTATTATCAAAATCCATAAAAGGGAGAATGAAGGTATTTTATTAAGGCTGAGTATGCTTTCAGACAAATTCAGAAGAAGGGCTTCAAACCTCATAAACATCACGTTTCCAAAAGCTTGTTGAGCTTTTTAATTGAATTTCAGAAAAGTGTATGCTTCTATTAGTCCTTTGCACTGGTTTCAAAGCAAACATGGTCCTATTACTTATATACTATAGATTTCAATATTTATCCTCAAATTAGCCTATGCAAATAAATCCCATTGGGTTTTATACAGATTCCATATCAAAAGCGAGAGGGCAAATCGTATTAAATGCAAATGATTAGATAAGTATGTATCTATAAAGTGTTTGGCTATTTATGCATTTAAAATTGATGTACACATTAGAGAGATAAATTCTGTATCCAGTCATTTTTAACTAACAGCAAGCTAGAAAATGGAAGTAAATGTTTGAAAATTAATCATATAAAAATATTGCAACTCTTAACATTGCTTAGAATTCCACTCTTTTGCATCCTTACATTTCAGTTTTGGTATTTGTAGTTTAAAAATTTAGGAATAATGCTGAAAATGACACATTTGGTTTTCTTTTGGTTGTCCAGTTTACTATACATGGGACATAGTGGTTTAAGATCTGACTTCAAAACAGAAGTTCAAAGAAAGATAGGTGCATTGTATAATAGGAAATGGGTTTAACAAACTGCTAATGCATATAAAAGAGGCAGGGTTTGAATTTTATCAAACTGAAATTTTTTACCTGAATTAATCCTTTGATTGGGAGAAATTAAGCTGATCCACAAATTATATTTTAAACCTAAGATATCAATATAATACATCCCTAGCAACCTGCATGAACCAAAAGAGTGTAGATATAAAACAATTGCTGCATGGAACAACTCTCTAAAATAGGCTGACAAAATTGTTTTGCTTGTGTCCATAGACTGATGGGGAGGACGTGATAGGCAGCCTTGACTAGCAATCTATACCATGCTATTTTGAGAACTCCAGAGCTTCTGCAAAAGTTGCCAGTGACTCTTTCCAACAACATTTGGTAATGTGGTTTGCCATCACAATTTGGGTCAGTAGGGTTAGAAATTTTAATGTTTTATCCTCTTTGCTAACACTTGTTATGTTTGTATTCCACCCGCAGTACCCTACATGGGATTCAAGTGACAATCTTGTTAGGAAAAAATTTGCCACTCCTATGTAGGAAATGCCATCAGTGTTTTTTTTTTGTAAAGAAATGGTTTAGAACCTTCTAAGTCCTTCAGATATATTTGGATTATAAGTCCTAGGATTCTCAAGAGAATTTCAATCCAACTCCATCTGGAGGGTATCACATTGAGAATTTAAGTAATTAGCTTTCTTTCCTCTCTAAGGCACATGAAGACCCCATGTACGATATAATAAGAGAAAATAAACGCTATGAAAAAGATATGAGGTAAGCTTGGATCTCTTTTAAGAAATTATAATGAAAATGATGATAGCAATACTTCACCAATTTCCAGATACTTTATAACTATTATAAGAAAGCTCAGTAATATAGACCCCAAGTTTGAAATTGAGAGATTTGCCCGTGAGAATGTCCTGTAAAATGTGAATCAAGAAAATTGCCAGCCATCCGTTGTGGCAACTACTTCACATTTTTCTGCAAAGAAAAAAAAGCAGTGACTACTTAATTATAAAGAATCCCTTTTACTTCTAATGTAATAGTTCCAAAGTTTTTGTTTTAAAGTGATATCCAAGTGAAATGAAACCTGCCCAAGCAAATATCATTTGACACTGTCTATTTATGCACTTAGGATAGAACAGTTAAAACGGTTGCTGGAAGACTCTACATCAGATGAGGACAGCAGCAATGACAGTTCCAGTTCCTCAGAGAGTCGGGTGAAGCACAAAAAAAAAAAGAAGAAAAAGGAAAAAAAGAAAAAAAAGAAAAAGAAAAAACGTCAGTCCTCTAAATCAAGCAAGAAGTCTGAATCAGATTGAGAAGATGTTTGCCTTTATGTCAATAAGTTGTAAAAGATCCAAAGAACATCTCTTCATTTGTGTTTTACCTGCATTCTCTTCCTTTATGTTGGAAAACAATAATAACAAAACAAGAAAATTTATTTTCTATCTGTATGAGATGCTGCTAAAGAAAACTGCTTCTATGTATACACAGACTCTTTTTAAGTATTTTTGTAAAAGGTCCCTCTACCCCCTTTTTAGCCTACCAAGACTTTAATAATCAATCAGTGTAGGAAGGGGGAAACTACCAATAGAGAAGTTCCAATCTACCAATAGGGAAGTTCCAAAAATAAATCCCAAGATATAGCAAATACCTTTTCATCAAAGCTTTGTAACATTTAGCCAGAAGGATCCCTTTAGTAGCATGTCACCAGTGTTTGCAATATAGCGGAAGTCCCAGAAAGAAGCTTAATGGATCATATGCAAAAGCAAATAATTACAAAGAGGCATAGTATAGGTTTCACCCTTAACTGCCTCCAACTGAACTTTGCTCAAAAATGGCTTTCTACAAAGGATGAAGCACAATACAGCTACCATCATCTACCACAATACAAGAATATACTTTATAACTTATTTTCAGATGTACTTTATTGAAAAGCTGCATAATTTATCACCCATCTTCCAGCTGCATCTGACATAATAGGAAGGGCTCCACAGACTTCTATAAGATTAGAAAAAGTATCTGGGGAATTGTAAAACCAATCTATAGATCACAAATTTTGAAGATCCAGTTTTACTAATAATGAAGCACACTTAAATATACCTTGTTTTTTAATGTCCATTTCCCTACCAATTCACAGAAAAGTGCTTGAAAAATTAAAAATGTTTTTGGCAAGTAACCATATATGTTGTGTTGCTTTTTGAGAAAATTCTGAAAATGGTTATAATTGATTACATTATTATGGCACCCCAAGTTTGATATTTTTTAGATATAAAAATATTGGAAGGATGGGTGTATTAATTGCGGCATATTTGTTCTGGCCGATAAAGGAGCTTCTTATTCATCTGTATTACTTTATTTAATTGAAAAGCAACAAAAGAACTAATGTTTTGGATCAAAATCCTAAACTGTGACGCAGAGCAAATAAAAATGTTTTGATGCTTCAGCACACTTTTTCATCAAAACTGTAGCATGCTGGTTTCTTTAAATGACTGGATGCAAAATATCTGGCTTCATCTACACCTGTTCACATCTCCATCTCTTCCTATTTATTAAGCTGAAAGCTTAATTATCTTCTAAAGCAAAGGACTGCTAGGGTGTTAAAAGCAATTTGAGCCACTGTTTCCAGTAACTTTGTATTACCAGCTATTAGTTGGATAACTTGAATCATTATTGAGCACATTAACAACCCAACACCTCCATTTTATCTCTTTATTCTGCAGCATGTTCTATAAGCAGAGCTAGCTAAAATCAGTCTTGAGAGTGAAGATGTAGAAATGGAATGGATCTGAATCAAGGCTTCCTATTCTATTGTCTATTGCTGACCCAGAATAATGAAGGCTGTGCCCTTTTAAGCATGAAAATGTTCAGTTACATTTCAGAAAATACATTGATACGTTCATCCATATTATAGTTTTAATTATGCTAAGAAGATACTGTAGCATAACTTTTTAGCGTGGGAACTAGAATCCTAGAAGCATGTACTCTGACCTAATATTAATCTGCATTCAATTAAAGTTAAATATATTTTATGAGATTTCCTCCTATGAAATCAATTTTACATGCTGCATGTTAAAAATTACAATTTAAAGGCAACTTAAATTCTGAGACTCGATTCAAAATCTATAGGGCTGCATATTTCTTTAAAGCCTTGGTTTATGAAACCATGATTCGAACTTTATTTATAGTTTCTCTTTATTTATAACAATTACCTTGGTGTCCTTTCAGGTATCACTGTAAAATTGATACTTTTTAGAGTTAATGCTTTTTAAACTAAATTGTGATTCCCATAGTTCTTTATTTCTTATTTCTCAGCTGAAGCTTTATCCATTCTTTGAGAATAAGTTTTACATTAGAAATTATTCACACATCCTATTAGTGCAGCTTCAACTTTATTTAAACACTGTGTTACTTAACATTGTGTGAAATGTGTGTGTCCAAATTCATTTTTTTGCACATTTTACAGTGTGAATTGAGGAATCCTTTACAATGCAATTTAAACTGATTTGCTTCTCCAAAAAATATTACAATTCCTCTAAACAGTGCAAACAAATATTTGCACTTCTGATTATCTTTGTCTTCTTTTATCTTTTATAGGGTGGTTTCTTTGCTTCACATTCTGCACAAAAAGAAAACATAATATTAGACAACATAGTCTTTAAAAGTAGGCCAAATTGAAACCATTAGACTTTAACCATCTGACATCCATTAATATATGCAACTTGTTTTTACCTATAAGTCTTAGATAAAAAATAATTTGCAAATTGACAATATTCAGAGCTGTTCAGAATAACCATATTGCAAACTTGTCTGTCAAGATTTAAAGCTTCTACAAACCATTACAGTATAACCAATATGAAGGACCATCTTAGACAGGATGATAAAACATTTCCAATACTCAAAATATGTACATGGCATAGGCCTATCATAATAAGGTTATATTACTTTAAGTGTGAGAATTCAGACTTACAACCTGCATCCCAGTTTGATTTGTCTGACATGTCTGTTTTCACATCTTTCCGTATTACAGCTTAACATGCACTAACTATAGATACATGGCAGTATACAGCAACAATTAGCATAACTACCTAGTAAAATATGTGCGAAAGATATGAACATCTTGACTGTACCTTAGGAAAAGCCCACTTAGGCATTCAATTTCAACTGTTATTAATACTTGTTGCAATATAACAATCCATAATAGGGAAGTAAGTAGGCGTGATGCTCAGTAATATATAAGTGTCAGATCTTTCAAGAAATTAGTCTGGATAAACAGTTTAGAACAAACAGGAATTTCCCATAGCACTTCAGCTAGACTTAACAGGTTGCTTTCCAGGTATGTATTGTATACATACAGTATGTATTCCACTGATTATATAGTCACTACAGTTATTTTATATTTTACTGATTATGATCCATGTTACTACATATATCTTTCAAAGATGAGCAGGAACATAATAAGCAAAAAAAAAAAAAAAAAGATTCCACCATGTTTTTCCAGTTCTGTGAACCGACAGTTTTCATTTGTAGCACTGGTTCTAAGAAGACTATATGCCGAATAATATTGGACTTCCATATACTACTTAGAACCTTCTTATAGAAATTATTTAAAGGTGAATTTAAAAGAGATTATCTGTTTATTACGAGATAACTTACTGATATATTGCACTTACCCTTGTGATATGTAATTTTAGGTTTCTCCCATACTTCAGCTGTTTCACATCTTGTGTCTCTACGTTTATGAGGTGGTTTATGCACTCTTTTCTTCTTTGGACAGTCCATATACATATTGTCAGATGCAAAAGGGAATACTTCCAAGATATCTGTTATAAATGCAATAATTTTATTCATTTGTTTTATTTATTCTGTGCCTAAAGTTTAATTCCTTCTGCCATTTCCCACTTTTAAGTTACTTTGCTTGTAAAGACATCTGTACCACACCTCATTCTTTAAGAATGGTTTTTCAAATTTACTATACAAGATAATATATATTTTCTCAAAATAAAGTATGAGTAGGTATGTGCTTCATATACACCAGCAGCTAGATAATTGTGACTGAGGGTTCCAATTGAATTGTAGATATTATTCAAAATTTACGTTTGCTCCGAGCAGCATTGGAATTGCTTTTATGTATAATATCTCAGCATTCAAATTAACTTCTTTTTGCTTGCATAAGTTGCCACTTTGCTTTAAAATATGGAATCAGGTGCCACTGAGTTAAAGAAAATATATTGAATGCAGTACATTTTAAATTTAAACAATAAAGACCATACCTTTCTCTTTTGTAGCAGTAGGTGAGATATCATCAGGGTTTAGGTTAGCAGATCTGGGTCTAGCACCACTTTTTACCCAGTATTCATCAGGTCCAGTCCTTCTATTTTCCTCTTGTAACCATCCTGATCAACATATAATGCAGAAGTTCAGTTCTTTGCTACATATATAGTTAGTAGTTGGTAAAGCAAATTGGCTCAATAATCCTAACAAAATTGATTCTCTTCCAATATGTCCACTGATTTAACCTCAGACTATGAATATATTCAGATGTACACATAAATCAACTATGCTACTTTCAAGTCTTCATCAAGGAACATTTAGACTACTCACTCAATATTCTATCATATTTTAAAAGCTTGTTTGTTAAGTGTGTACAAGTATTTCAAAGTAAGAAATATATGAGGAGAAAGAGAAAATTTGAAATACATTCTAAACTGCAACATTTCAGAGAGATAGGCATTCAAGTAGCTATGTACAAAATTCTTGATATACAGCTTATTTTTTAAAAAGCCTGCAAATCCCCCCAAATAATCTATTTTACTCTCCCTCTTCTTGACTTATAAAGACTTATAAATGAGAAAATGAAGTTTTCTAAAATAATAGATTGACATCTGTTTCAGTTTTCTATTTACCTGAGCATTTCTGTGGATTTCTTCTGTGTTCAAGTAATTCAACCTGTTGGGCTGTAGGTCTCATCAAGCAGATGTTATAATCATCACAGAGATTTTCATCTTGCTCCTTCTGCAGTTTAATAGGTAACCCAGATATTTTTTCTTGCACAGGCCAGTTAATTACATTTGGTGGTACTGCATTTTTAGGGATTCTCCAAAATACTTTCTGGGCAGTCTGTTGACCCAATCTACTTTTGTCTGGGTTTGGGATTTCATATGGCATATCTTCCTCAACAAAGTATTCCTCATCAGTTTCTTGTTCTTCATATTCTTCTGGTTCCATCACCCAATATTCTTCAGAATCATCAGCATCTGATGGAGATGAACTTGTTGTTTTTTGGAGATAGTAGAGATTCTTGTTACTGGAACATCTTGGAAGAATGCTCATCTTTTTGATTTGGCTAGGAATCTCTTTAACCTTGACTCTTGAATCGCTCTGACTATGCTCACTAGTGGCCTGTTCAATCCCCATCACTTCCTCATCTTCATTGAGGGTGCCTCCAGTTCTTATTTGACCTATTCCCAAGCCATTGCCATTTTTCTTGAAGGTACATAAACCCTTTGGAACCAGATAGTCTGGAACTATAATAGACACTGAAGAATTCTCAGTTGATGCATCTTCTTCAATAGAAGACGTATCATCAGAGGTAATACTGAGCAAATTTGGACGCTTTCTTCGGAAAAGATATTTTTCATAATTATAGTTTGGATCCATGTTATCCATACAAGCCAACCAGCTCTCAGAAGGAATATATTTTTCAGAGTCATCACACCATTGGATTTTTTCAGAAGTATTTTCATTGTTCATGTCATTACATTCACTCAACTTCTGAGGCAAATCATTTGTCATCTCCATGCCAGAGGGAAATAATTTCCTTTGTTGAATATGATTTGAAACTTCTTGTGGAGTTTTTGAACTACTTGATTTTTTAAAACCAGGTGGTATTTTGGCCATCAGTACATCTTGCTTTGTCCCTGGGTGGTCAGCCCCAGTTAGTTCAGTCAGTTGCACTGTTCCAGCTTCATCCCTTGGACCTTTTGCTCTGTAGTTTATAACTCCTTGTTTTTCTGAATCTTGATATTCTTTACATAGAAGCTGTTTCTTCTGCATGTCCTCAGGAACATTTTGCTCCTCTGAAAATGGAATACATGGAAGTAATTCTCCTTGTTCATGAGGCCCATATGCAACTCCTTCACAGGAGCTACCAGCAAGCATATCTCTTTGCACGATATTCTTTGGGACTTGTTTTTGTGCCATCTCATAGAGAGGGATTGTTTCTTTGAAAGGCTTCCAGAGCTGAATAGCAGGAGCACCAAGATTTTCATATTGTACTCTAACTTTCTCTTTCTCAATGGCATAGCCTGCTGGGGGAAGACTTCGAAATGGTACAAGACCTG